AAAGGTAGATACATGAATGAAACAATAGAGACTAACGTAATAAATAAACCAATAATGCAGAGATAAATTTAAAAAAAGAAAGGGAAGAGTGAAGTGGTGTTCATCTCAGCAGTTTAGTGCCTCCTGGAGCTCCCTCTGGATCCTGCTCACGTAATGACTGAGGCTGACTGTGCTGCTGGTGCTGGGCTCCCGGGGCACTTGGGTGCTAACCAGTCAGACACGGTCCTCCCTCGGCTTCCAGCACCAGCTCGACGCTCCAAGCGATCCAGCTTGTGTCTGTCTCCACAGGCCTTGGCTGCACACTGCACGTGGGAGGGCCAAGCTGCCCCTTAAGGCAGGTCTGTTAGCCGCAGGGGCCCAGGGCTGGGGCAGTAAGCTTCTCCAGAGTCCCGCCTTGGCTTGCCAGGCAGCTGTCAATCTTAATCACTCAAGTCTGTTTTGAAAGGGCTTTAGGAGAAATGGGGAGTCTAGACCTCTGGTCTCCCGTGAGGGGAGGTGCTGTTCAGATCTCAGGGACTGTGGTGGGGGTGTTTCTGGTCCACGAGCTGCTCCTCTGCCAGTGGCCCAGAATATGACTCTGCTCTCAGCTGGGCAGAGACCCTCCTATGCAGGTTGTGGGATCAGCTGGAAACCCGGGGCGTCTACCAGCTCTCCTGCCTGGGAGAGGCACCAGTCAGGTTCCTGGGATAGTGGGGTGGACGGCCCCTCCCCCCAAGCAGTCACAGACCCGTCCTGAGACTGTTCAAAACCGTAGGTTTGGCCTCTGTGGCTGTCGATGCAGGGTCTGGCAGGCAGGGCTCCTGAGGGCGGGGTGCGCTGTATCACCTAGGACGGGAATTTTTCCTTTTCCTGGAAAATCGCTGCTTCCGTTTGGAAGAGTGCGATTAAATAAATGCAGGTCTCCCACTGCTGCTTTCCCCTCATGCTTCCCACCCCGGCCTCTCCTTCGGCACCTCCAGTCTGCACTGCCTTCCCTCCACCAAAGGCTGCAAGTGAACTCCTGGCCCTGGGAGGAGGTGCAAGGAAGGTCTGCCTATTGTGCCCCCCTGCTCCTTTATTAATAACTAGCTAAGTATGGCGACAAAAATGCCAGAGAGAACACTCTGTAAAGTATATGATATCTAACCACTGTGCTGAACACCTGAAACTCATACAAACATTACATGTAAACTGTAGCCCTAACTGGTTTGGCTCAGTGGAGAGAGCGTTGGCCTGCGGACTTAAGGGTCCCGGGTTCGATTCCGGTCAAGGGCATGTGCCTTGGTTGTGGGCATATCCCCAGTGGGGAGTGTGCAGGAGGCAGCTGATCTATGTTTCTCTCTCATCGATGTTTCTAACTCTCTATCCCTCTCCCGTCCTCTCTGTAAAAAAATCAATAAAATACATTTAAAAAAAAAGTAAACTGTAATTGAAAAAGATTAAAAATAAATGATAGCCCTGGCTGGTTTGGTTCAGTGGATAGAGCATTGGCCTGCGGACTGAAGAATCCTGGGTTGGATTCCTGGTCAGGGCACGTGCCCAGGTTGCAAGCTCAATCCCCAGTAGGGGGCGTGCAGGAGGCAGCCAATCAATGATTCTCTGTCATCACTGATGTTCAAAACACATTCCTCTGCACCTGGAGACCAGGACAGCACAATTGCTGTAATTGCTTCAGTGGCTCCAGAAAATGTGTTTTCTGTTGACTCAGTGGCTCCAAGACCTAAAACTATAATTAATCTTTGTAGATAACTAACTTGCTCAATTTAGCTTCTGTAACAGACTGCTTTTGCAAACCAGGTTCCTCATTCCAAACCTAGAGATGTAATTGATACCTTTGTGATCTTTGCCTATATAAGCCTGATGTTACTGTCATTCGGGGCTGCGAGACTTAGAGAGCATTTGCCCCCTCGTAGCCGCCGGCTCTGAAATAAATGTGGCTCCTTAATTCGATTTCTTGAGGCGCCCTTGTGTGATTCGTGGGGTACAATACAACAATAGAAAACTACCTTGTTATCAGACTTCAAGATCCTGCAGAGAGACACTCGGGCTAGGGACCTGCAGCCCTTACCTGCCCCCCCTCCCCCCACACAGCCTTTCTCCCTTATCCTGTACAATCAGCCGCCAGGAGGGGAGGGGAGGGGACTGTGGCTGACCTGCTGCTCTCCCATGTTGCTGGCCTTGGAATAAACGCTCAGATATCATTCAACCCTGTCTGCTTAATTTGGTTCAAGTAGTGACAGGCAGCCAAATTGTTTATGTCCAGTTTCAGCATCGCCCCCCAAACAGGCCCCTTGGACCCACAGATCATTTTGAGTGAAAGGCTATTGAGAACCAGCAGGTTAGGACAAGCTCTAAAAGCAAGACCCAAGTCGCCCGCTCGAAGGGAAAGATGTTTGTCCAGGTGCCTCTCTCCCCGGCAGCAGGGAGGCCTCAACTTACATCTGCGCAGACCCTGGCTCACCGCTTCTCCTGCCACCGGTACATGCCAACCCTTCTCCTTTGGGTTATTCATCAGTGGGGGCTCCCGTGTGTGGGGGGCAGGGGGCACACGTTAGTACACGTCTCTGTTTCTCTTGCTGACCTGGCCTTTGCCAGCCCAGTGTACAGGCTCCAGCTGGAGGACCAGGTGGAAGGGAAAACGCTCCCCCCTCCCCCCCAGCATGCACCTGGGAAGGTGCCTGTGGGCTGTACCCAGGGTGTGGCTTCAGTGTGTCTCTCTCCCTCAACTGTCGGTCCTGGCACCTTGCGGCCCACATCGACTACAATGTGTCACCACGTAGGCCAGTGGTGCTGGGCTCATCTTCTAGGAGATGGTCTGTGGGTGAAAAGGGCTGGCTCAGGGGAGGCGTGCATGGCAGGGAGCACAAACTGAGACCTACCGTAACCACACAGGCTGGTCTGCAACTAAAACTCCCCAAGTAAAAGTGAGTCACGGCAGGTGGTCACGTCCTAGGCCTGTAGCTTGCTTGGCAAAGGGCAATCTTTACCGTAACTGAGCCTATTGTCTTTTACATTTCCAGCCTGCCCTGCCATCTCCCAGGCGTCTCCTGCTGCTCCGTGTTTCCCACCCACAGAAATGGTGAGATGATTATTGTTTTTTCAGGCCACTTTTTGGGGGTAACAGGTTAGGCAGACACAGGTCACAACACGTGCAGCTGGATGCTGGCTCTGCTCCTCGCTGGCTAGGACCTGGACAGCAGGAGTCCTCGCCAAGCCAGGCTCCTCGCCAGGTAATCGGTGAGCAGGCGCCTTCCCCACGGGCTGGCCTAGCATCTGAGCCATGACTGGATGCCCACCAGTCCTGGCTGCCCATCTACCTCATTCACCTATTCACCTGCTCACCGACCAGCATCTCCCACGTGAAAACGTGCCCTTGCAAAGCCATCTTGCTCACTGAGCTACCCGAGTGCCTACAGGAGTGCCTGTCTCAGCAACTGTCCCAACCAAAATATGTTGACTGAAAAGTAACACAACTCACAAAAGCAAGCGCTCAGTGTGCAAGAGTGAGGACGGGGCCAGGACGCAAGAGGCTGGAGGCTTGGTGGGCACTGGAGCCCCAGCCCTCTAGACCAGGGGTCCTCAAACTTTTTAAACAGGGGGCCAGTTCACTGTCCCTCAGACCGTTGGAGGGCCGGACTATAGTTTAAAAAAAAACTATGAACAAACTCCTATGCACACTGCACATATCTTATTTTGAAGTAAAAAAACAAAACGGGAACAAATACAATATTTGTATTTGCATGTGGCCCGCGGGCCGTAGTTTGAGGACCCCTGCTCTAGACAGAGAGGTCTGAAGCCCAGGGGGCGGAGGCAGGGCTGGAGATGCCGGGTGACTTCTCCCAGAGCCGCTGAGCGGTGTCTCCCCACTGGGCAGCATGCCCCACCCCGCAGTAGCCCTACCACCGGCTTGCGTCCTGCACTCCTGTCAGCAAATGTCCAGCTCACCCCTGGCCGCAGGAGAGCTTCTGACCCTTGGTAACATACACTGCACCTCAGTGCAGAGCAAGTGCAGGTGGCGATTCTGGTCTCAGGCCCTGCCCAGGGCTGGGATGCAGCTCCTGCAGACAGGGCCCCTCTCCACGCTGCAGCCCAGAGGCCTCCGCCTCCCTGAGGGGGTCACGGTGGGAAGAGTGGAAACGCAATGTAAGTCCAAGTGGTCCACGGCAGAGAACCCCAGAGTGCTTTTCCAGTCCTGGTCTGAGGTGTAGCCATGTTGCTTTTAGAACCTGGCTCTGAAACAGGATAATGAAACCACAGGGCCCATCCAACCTGGCAGCCCTTTTGCAAAAATCGCTTTAAAAAATCAGTACCAAAGGGAGAGAAGCTGAGCTTCAAAATAGCACTTCTGTGGAGCATTCGCGATCTTGCTCCCTGGCATATGTTGTCAGTTTGACTCAAATAAATTTATAAAGTCTCAAAACTTCCCCACAAAGAATTATAAAAGGATTATTATGAAAGTCCTAGGCAAGTTTGTTTGTTTTTTCCATTGACCATCCGCTACTTCCTTTCATTTGGATAGCGAGTCCAAACACCCAGGGCCCTTAGCCAGACTTCTGAGGTGCGAGGACTTGTCTCCCAGCGGCCATCACCTCGCTGTTGCTACCCCTCAGTCCTAGGAATGGTCCTTGCAGGTCAGCTCCCAATGCGCGTCCCTCAGTGAGAGCAGCGGCCCTGGCCAGCATTTACCCAGCATCTCCGTGGCCTGGGCTATCTGATGCACAAGGGCCTTGCACCTGCCGCTGGAGAAGGACGGCATGCTGCCAGCAGGGGGGGCGGCGAGGGAAGGTGGTCACCACTGTCTTCACAAATGAGCGCTTAGCGGGTAGCATGGGCTGCAGTTCTGCATGAGGTGGAATCTACACTCAACCACTGATGTCCTCGCAGGAATCTCAGCCCTAATCGTGTTGGGCTGTGCCCTGCTGAGCCCTGAGGCGGAACAGACACCTCTTCACGCCCTGCCAGCGCCAAGCAGGCGCCGAGAAGCCCCAGGCCGGCGGAAGGTGCACTCTGCTCACAGTGGGGACAGGTGCTCACTGGTTTATTGAGACTCAGGGGGGTCCCCGAGACACACATGTGCAGGGACACACCCGCTCCCCACGGCCCATCGAGCCAGGTCGGCAGCCAGGGATGCTGCCTTGGTCAGAATTCTCACCGACTACCCACTGGAAGCAGCTCCCAAACCTGCCCACGCTGCTGCTCCTTCATCACCCGACACAGCCCCGGGAGCACTCCCCGAGGGGGCAGGAAGGGAGAGGGTGTGGTGAGGCTGAGGGGAGAGGTGACGGCATCATATGGATGAACCAGGGCAGAAGGTCTGTGCCCAGAGGGGCTGTATTTACAGGAGGGTGGGGAGCCTGGCTTCTCCACTTCCCTCCCCTACGGGCCTGTCCTCCCCACACCCGCTCACTTGTAAAGCAAATGGACTCGACTCCCATCACAGCTCAGCCGGTCGGGGAGCTCAGGGGGGCCCCTGGGCAGGCCCCCAGAGGGGCCCGGGGGTGTGGGAGGGGGGCGCCGTGCGCGGAGCTGCTGCCGAGACTGGAGCTGGCGGCGGAGTTCGGAGACTCGCTCCTCTTTCTGGAGGAAGGAAGACAGGTGGGAGCCGCGAGTCAGGGAGTCAGGGGGTGGGGGGTAGGGGCAGAGGAAAATAGATAGAGGATAGAGGGTGGGTGGACAAAAGAAATTAAAATGAGAAACTGAGAAGAAAAGCCCAAAGGCCAAACTGGGGCACCACTGAGGACAAAATCAGGCAGGAGAGAATGGGGAGGGGAGGGCAGCGCAGCTTCCAATCAGATCCCCTCGCCCAGTCTGAGCGCCTGTCACTGCGCGGCCCGTGGGCCGTCCACCCCCTTCAGAGCCCTTCCTCCCCTGGGTCTCAGGGCAGGGAGTCCTCTCGCTGGGCCCCGCCTCCCCGCCTCCCGCACTCCTGGGCCTCACACCTCGGCGATGATCTTCTCCAGCTCCCGGTTCTCCTTCTCCAGCAGCCGGGACTTCTCCTCCTCGTGGTTGTTGGTCGAGGACCCGGTCTTCATGGTGTCCTGAGCCTCCGACTGCCATTCCCCTCGGGTGATCAGCCTGCGCATCTGGGGGCGGGTGTGGGGCGCGGGAGGGCCAAGCAAAGACCGTGAGCGACCGGCTGGGCGGGGTGGGGGTGGGGGACCGGAAGGAAGGGAGGGGAGGGGAGCCGGCCTGGCCCCCAACACGGGAGGCGGCAGGGAGCGGTCTGGGAGGAGATGGGACAACAGTGAGCACCTTGGGCACAAACAGCACCACCAGCGTGATGTAGGAGGAGAAGACGATGGCGAGAGAGGCGAAGGCGAAGGCTGCGTCCTGCTGGCTGGACAGGATCATGGTGACGGGCGCGGTGATGAGGCACAGGACCTGGGGGCGGGCGGGGCGTCTCAGGGAACGGCCCGAGCCAGGCTGCCCTTCCCCCAGGAGAGTCTGCGCTCAGGCTCCTGGTGGCCTTTCCATTGAAAAGGACTCGCACTCGCGCACACAAACTGCCCCAAAGCAGCCGCCTCCAGTCCCGTCCCGCAAGGCCGACCCCTGAGCTCAGACACCCTGGGGTTCCCCCAGAGCACACCTGCGGGAACCTCGCCTCCGACTCCCCTGTGAGCAGCCACACCCACCCCTCCGGCGGGGGCAGCCACACCTACCCTCCGGCGGCTGTGCACACGGACACGGACACGCGGTGCCGTGTGCATGTCGGGTGCTCCACAGCCCCGAGGCGTCACAGCACCCGTCACTCCACCCGGGGTCCCCATCCTCCCAGGCCGCCCCCGGGCCCATGCCAGGCTCCGGAGCTCACCGCCACATTGTAGATGGCCATGCCCACCGCCCGGTGGTCATTGATCTTCTCGGTGGACACACTCTTGGTCTCATAAGCAAGAAAGATACCCAACAGCAGCAGCAGCCCCTTGTAGCCATAGAAAATGCCTGCGACAGCGGCGGGGGGTCACTGGGCGGAAGCCTCGCGCCCCAGCTCCGAGCTCCCCGTGAACAAGGAGCCCCTCCCCGTCACCCTCACCTGCCCACCTTCCCGGCCTGGGCGCCAGGTCACAGGGGAAGGTGATGGTCATGACCCTTACCCTCCGGCTGGGAACCCAGCTTTGCATACTGAGGGGTCTGCCGTTTGTGGCCACAGAGGAGAGAGAGCTGAAGGCGGAGGGACTGAAGCCCGCGCGCAGCCGGTGACGGAAGACGAGAAGGAGCCCATCCCCAGGGCCCTCCCTCCCCGGGGCAGGGGGACACAGCTCTGCCGCGTCCCTTCCTCAGACCCTAAGCTCCTCCCAGCGACACCGCTGCCCCCTCTCAGGGCAGTCCAAGACAGAAGGTCATAAACTGGGCTGCCGTCCCTCCAAGCCCCGCCCACACCCCCACCTCCACCCCCCACACCCCACACACCGAGCCACGTGTTCATCTTGCGGGAGCTGCAGTGCTCCAGCTGCGGCAGGATGGACACATCGATGTCTTCCTTCGGCTCCTTCTTGGCGAAAGTCTAAAGGGAGATGAGGCCGCAGGAAAAACGGGCGTCATCCTATGTCCCCCCAACTCTGCCCCGTTTCCTACGAGACCCCCAGTGCTGAGGCCAAATCCCACTCTAGGCCTGGACAGCCCCCCCACACCTTAGGGATGGCTACCCTCCCCACGACCCCGCTCCAGAGGAGCCCTGGGCCTAGCAGCTCGCCCGCTTGACCCCGCGGTACCTCGATGGTCCGGTGCAAGGGGCCACGATCTGCCACACGGCGAGGAGTGAGGGGTCCGTTCCCACCAGCAGGCCCACCGTGGCGACAGTT